AATGAAGAACAAATCTGCACTACTTATTTTGTGAAAAGCTGTCTACCAAACCTAATATGAGACTTCCGATGTAGAAAACTCCCTCAATCGGTTTCCCCCCTTGACAGAATGCTGCTTTCGAAGGACGGCAACAAAAACTGGGAAGACTGCTAGCTAACAGATGTAACATTGTGGGTATACAAAATAATATGCTCTGCAAATGTTTAATGAGAAAGTTATTAATTAAAGACTTCTGTTACAACTCAAAGACACAAACAATGCAACCTGGTTAGTAACACTGAATGCCTCAATAAAAGTTGTATCTTGTCTTAACAGTGATATTTTATCCCATTAATAATTTGACTAAGGCTAGAAGATATGAGAAGCAATCACAAAGAGACAAAGTATTTGAAAAATCTGATTTAATCTCCACACACATCATTCAGAAGAAGATGGACCGACAGACAAAAGTCGACGTTTATCATAGAAGGCACACTTTGTTTCTCATTAGTCCTTGTTAGATGGCTTTATTATTAAAGTTCTAGTGAGGAAATCACTTGTACTTGTAGAATCCTTCTCCTGTCTTTTTGCCGAACTTGCCCTCTGCAACCAGCTTGTTGAGCACTTCACTCTGAGCGAACATCGGGTTGTCAGGATTCGCTGCAGACCAACCTAAAGATCAAAAAGGGTTTCTTAAATTAAAGTAATCGAATAAATGTAGATGAAAGTAGCAATAGGCAAGACGAGAAAAGACTCATAAAGTACCACAAATGTAAAGGTGTATACAGTACAGGTTCAATGTACTCTTTAGTTACATCTCATAACGATAAATCTTCTACATAGTCTTCCTCACCATCCATGATGAACTTCATGGTGTCCAGTCCTACGTAGTCTGAGAGCTCAAAGGGTCCCATGGGATAACCACATCCAAGTTTCATGGCAATATCAATGTCCTCTTTGGATCCATCACCTGAGGGAGAAGACAGCAGTACAAGAACCATGAGAATATGCAGATATCCATCAACAACGATCATATAATATATAACTATATTAAAGGATACTAAATAAGAGCTTCATTACTTACTACCCCAGCGCTGAGAGTAGAGCAAGGATATTTTTAGTTATAACTCCCATTTAGGGTTATAAAATGTTGAAATAGTAGAAAGACTCAAATGAGCATTTAGATGGGTTTTATTTATCTTTGTCAAGTTTAAATCAATTTTTAAGTTAAAATTAGCTAGGAATGTTATTGGCTTAATGCGGAAGAAAAGAGAAATGCCAGAAAGGTGTATTGTAATAGTTTGTTTAATATACTATACATTTTATATGTTGATATTTAGTGAGTGTAATTAGAAAACCAGTACTGCAAACTCATAACTAGCCTAGCATCTTGTAGGTGTGTATAGTATCTTATAGTGTGTGATACAGTGCTACACCAAAATATATTCTCCTTTTAATTACATAAAGAAGGACTGAGGTTCTTTTGCACTCTTGTGTTTTCACTTCCCAAAGAAACATAGTTATGGACACTTGCTCATAGATAAACCTCCCTATAAACAAACCAAGTATGTAGGTGCAGTACTCAGTACGTACCTCTCTCATACATCCGGACGGCATCCAGGATGTAAGGAAGCAGCAGGCGGTTCACGATGAATCCCGGTGTGTCCTGAACAGAGACATGTTGGAAGCTGCTGAGTGGGGATGTTTCATTTATTTGTATAAGACTATAATGACATCAGACAGAATCTCTCACCTTGCAGGACACGGATGTCTTCCCGAGCATTTTGCTGAAGTTCAGGAGGGAATCGAACGTCTCTTGGCTTGTACTTGAGGTTGCAATGACCTGTGAAAGATGAATGCTTTATCAACTTTGATTTTAATAAAGTGTTGGTAGCATAATGGGATTCAAATAAAGTGTAATTAGCATTATACAGGTGTTTCCAACCTGAGCTTAGACGTAGAATAACACCTTATTGCATTATTTTGGGCATGATTAAATTCTCTGTATTTTCTTCCATCATAAAGCTGAAAAATAAACCCTTGAAACTGTTGTATTTTCTAAAAAATGTGCTCTGTTCACAGATGTATAATGTATCCATAATAATGGTCTCAAAGTATAGAGGTAGGTGCTGAGGAAACCCTTAAATAAGTAATATAAAAAGGACAAAAATGGCCCCCAAAAACAAAAAACGGTGATATATTTGTCGCCCAACCCAACCTGCATAGATTATCTTTTCATAAAACTGAAAGTGCCGTACCTCTACGAGCCTCATCACAGGGACGGGGTTGAAGAAGTGAAGTCCTCCGAATCGGTCCAGCCTGTTAGTGGAGCTGGCGATGTCAGTGATGGAGAGAGAGGAGGTGTTGCTGGCAAAGATGGTGTGTCTAAAAGAAACGTGTGCAAAAAAGCAGAAAGTTCATAAAACACAATATGGACAGCAGTTCATAATAAAAGCAAACATGTGTAGTTCATAACTAAATCATCTTTTACAAAGGCCACCAAATGTATGTGTGCCAACTTCCCTTGGACCAAAACGGGGTGTTGGATTTTTAAATGAATAAAGGTTCATTCATTTTGAATACTGACAGCAGCAGTAGAAAACATGCGTTTGATAAGCAACATGTATAACTAATGAGTGACACAGAGGGGATGTGCTTACGCTGGTGCCAGCTTGTCAAGCCCACCAAACAGATCCTGTTTCACTTTCAGATTTTCCACAATGGCTTCCACCACAAGATCTGTGCCCTGAACAACTGATCCAGCATCTGTGGAGATGGACACGTTCTGCATGGCTTTCTGCAGGAACTCCTCCCCTGCCTGGAACAAAACCAAAATGCAATACCTCGTATTAATGACACACATTTCATTTATTTATTTATTTTGGTGTGGTGGCTTGACATGTCTCACCTCTGGCTTGTCAGCAAACTTCTTCTTCACCACTCTTTTAAGGTTCCCTTCAATCCCTTTCACGGCCTTTTTGAGGATGTCTTCATTTGTGTCCACCAGCGTCACCGCGTGGCCAGTAGAGGCAGCGACCTTTCAGGAAGAAATTAATTTAAGATGGGTTAATAAAAGGTTATTCCTGAGTAAACTTTTACTTGAACCTTGTGTAATGAATTGGTACATTTTGATTTGCTTGTACAACCAAAGTACTTTGTTTTGGTTTTATTTGTTGATGGTTCATTAAAGGAGATACATGCTTTTGTTTGTGGACTCAGGTGTGTTGTACTTCACTTAAAAAGAACAGTGAACCAGTCTTTATGTTATAAGGTGTTATACAATCAGATTGTTCTGTTTCCCTGCCAAAACATATACAAATAAGGATGAAGTGTGTTCACACTAGAAAAGTATTCCTGCAATCTAGAGAAGAAACAGATTGCAGGAATATTAGTGAAATAGCTGGAGGAGAATCTTGGAAAGCTAAGTATACAAAAGAATGTTTTAAATATTTTAGTCCCAATGTTTTACTTTATGCTTTGATTACTTCTACTGGGAAATTAATTTGATTTCACTATCACACAAAGAACACCAATAATAGTCTGTATATGCATGACAACATGGAGGAAAGCTTCTGTGTGCAATGTCAAGCTGAGGAAGAGGGTATTCAGCGAAGAGATTGATGGCACAATGTATAACTATTTTTAATCTTGAAAACCAATACCATTCGGCTTGAGTATAAGAACTACAAAAACACTGTAAATTGGTAGACTTTATACAGTTTGGAAGTAGTATACCCTTGTGGGGTACAGGTCAAATTCTCCAACAGCTGATTACCGGAGAACACACGGCGAGCGACACCTTGTGGCTAAAAGTGAACCCTGCAACTTATACAGTCTTGTCTCGTTACACCACAAGGAAACACAAATGAATGACAACTGAGCTATTTCAAAACACATCTTCCTTTTGGGATCAATGGGTGATTGTTCTGCGAGACAAGAGCCACACATACTGAAGAACTCAAACTTTAATGACAACTACAGGCATTTATTTTGAAAGGTTATTTGATACAGAACAACTTGCATGCGACACAAAGTAGCTTTAATGGAATAGTTTTCTTTCAGTTTTACAAGAAAATACACTTTAAGGATGAAACTAAGGTTGTTTCAGCAAATGCACGACTGGTAACATTTCCAACTCCCCGAAGAGTAGCTGCCTCACTAGCTATTATGAAGCTAACAGCTAGCTACATGTCTTAACACACGTATACATACACCAAAGGCATTTTGTCGCTTACCTGTGCAATCCCCGCACCCATCTGCCCCCCTCCGATAATCGTCACATTTTGTATGACAACATGTCTCACAGCAGAGGAGGACAGACCCCTGCAGATGTGGTGTGTGAAGAAAGCCATGTTGTGTCAAACTGCTGCAGGACTGCCAGAGTGGAAAGCATGAGGAAGGTCGGCGGTCACGTGATCGCGCCTCCACGACCTTTCACACAGATTATCCAGTCCTCAGGTGTCATTACAGATTTACCAAAAGAACAATATTCAGCATACAAAGGTTACTTTAAAACTCCTTTGAATCAGCAATACAGAATGTAAAAATATTTCATATACGAAAAGGCCCCCCTGCTCAAACATTAAAACATAGGATTCCCATGTCAAATTATTTTTAATTAATATAATATTTATTATTTACACCCGGGTGCCCGTAGTTAAAAATGCTATTTACACCCGGGTGTCCATAGCTAACGATGCTATTTACACCCGGGCTACACATTAGATAGTGTTTTGGATGTAGGCTATAGTATTTATGGAAATGTTTCTTTGATAACTTCACATTGTAATGGAAGATGCTGCACCCGGGTGCTGGTAGCTAACAATGCTATTTACACCCGGGTGTCCATAGCGAACAATGCTATTTACACCCGGGCTACACTTTATGCTGTTTTGGATGTTTAGGTATTTATGGAAATGTTTCTTTGATAACTTCATTCCCCATTGCTGCTGGGTCAAATTGTAATTCCCCTATAGTGGATTAATCTGCCACTACAGTCGGAAAGAAGTTGTGAAACATGATGAATTTGAGTATGTTTATTTACAAAATACCACAACAGTAAACGGTCACTAACAAATCAATTATGTATTTGTACCCCAATCAGCCTATTTAATATAGCCCTGAGGCTCATGTCCTGCTGGACGCTGGCAGGATCTGCGTCTTTTAGCAGGGCTTCAGCATTCTCAAAGACACAATTACACATTTATTTACAATATACAGTAGAAATTCATTTTACAAATGATTTCATGCCCCACCCTTGTGTGGCTTTAAGTTGAACCCACAAACAAACAAGTAGACTCATTAAAAAGGCACTTTTAAAATCTGTTCTTTTAAAAACAGTACCAACCAGGACTTTTTGTAGGGTCCATCCATCCAGACACTCCCCTGTTGAAGCGCCTCTCTCCTTCATGATGTTTGTAATTAATGAATTCAATTATATTAATTCATTAATAAAAATACATTAGTGAAAACATGTCATTGACTTTAATGATTACACTATCAATAGGAGTAAATATACCTCCAGTGCAAGAATTACTGCTCTTTTGCTGGACTTGGCAGGAAGTCCATGATGTAGACCTGTCAAGATTCTTTTGAGACTTTTGCAGCAACAAGGAACCAGTGTCCATGTCTGCACACTGAAAGGAGAATCCAATGATACTCCCCAAATTACAACTATTCACTCAAACAAAAATGTGTGTTAATAAGAGCACAACAAGAACATTCAGGTCGGCATTTTTTTTATAACCGTAAAGTTATTTAACTTACATTTTTGTAATCCCAGACGGTGTACTTAGACTTGTTCCAAACATTCACAATGGCACACTGAATAACATACACTTACTTGATTCCTGTGCCAGGACTCCAAGATGCATGATACAAAATGATTGAAAGCAAGCCTTACTTTGTAAAAGTACATAAGAATGAGCAATGCATGCCAAAGTTATTTTACTATCACTTTTAATATATATAATAAAACCACTTCAGATGTATACAGTGTTTTACCTTATTTACCGCCTTTCGTTTAACTAATCTCTTTAATCAATTTTGACTCTTTTAACTGAAATCTTTCCTTCCCTAATGCCCTACTTAAGAACATTTTAATATGTGCCAATATCTATAAAGCAGTGGTGTGCATCATAAAACAATAACATATATTGAGAATATGTATTTTAAAACCAAATGCCTCTACCATAATAATATCCATCCACCTTTTTAGCAGCTATTCTGAACACAGCAATGTAAATGCAACACATACCATAAGGCATGATGGTCATTTTTGATTGCTATTGACATTTTATGGACCTAAATAATGCTTGAACAATCCAAAAAATAACAGATTGGATGAAGACATATTTGTATTCCAATCAAAACACACTTTTTACAAAAATGACATTGTCTCCCCAGGAGACCTTTACCCACATAGGTAAATGTAATTGGATTGGATTGTTATAACCAAATATTCCACTGTTTCATCTACGGGGGCTCACACACACAGTGTATGGGCAGGGGGCCAGCGTCAGGCCGAAGCGCCCGTGCAGGGAAGGGAGGGGCGTCCCCTCTGGGAGTCTGAATCTGAACGCCTGCAGTAAGATGGTGACCGTCAGGAAGAGCTCCATCTTCGCCAGCTGTTCCCCCATACACACCCTGCGACCTGAAGGGTACAGGACGGATACATCATTAGGGCCTGGTGCACGGATAATTCAAATAAATTCACAGACTTGTGTTTCAGTTATTTGGCAGATATGAGTTAGCAGTGACATACCAATCCCGAAAGGTATAAAGCATTCCTTCCTGAGCAGCTTTCCCTCGTCGTCCAGGAAGCGCCCCGGGTTGAAATTGTCTGGGTCGTCCCACAGAGCGGGGTCTCTGTGGACAGACCACAGGTTGGGCACAATAACGGTTCCTTTGGGAATAGTGTAGCCTCTGAACTCTGAAAAAAAAATTAAAACACTCAATTCAAATGCTGTTCAGATTATTGTAAAACAAACCAACATTCAGCTCTCTTTATTTATAATATCCATGAAATAAAAATATTATATTGAGACTGAGAAACCTGACTAGTTGAGCAATAACAGAGGATTTACTGATATACAAGGGTTCAGAGTTGTTGTTGGAGCCATAATGTATTTTGTTTGTTTTATTTTATCCGCACAAGTTGAATGTATAATGCAGTTCCAACATTGAGCACAGGATGGAGCATTCACTTGTGAGTGTGTGTATATATAATCACCGGGTGATCAGATTCAGGTGTGTGGGACGGAAGCTAACAGTTTTTGACCGTGTCTGGAGAAGCCGTGTCGAGATGAGCTATGTTAAACCTGTTTGTATTCAGCGTGACTGGCATGCATATTGAACACAAATAAATGGATCGATAGGTTGAAAGATATACGACTCGTATGGACATTGTTTTATCGTCTGGAACACGCGTCCGAACAAAGTTCTCCCGTTCCCATCCCTCAGTGGCTTAAGTGTAGATTAGGTGAAAAAGTCACTACAGGTGTTATCTGAGTTTACCTGTTGTCTCGGAGGCCATGTGAGGGATAGCCAGGGGAACAGCTACAGTCATTCTCTGCACCTCCATGATGGTGGCTTCAGTAAAAGGCAAACTTCCCTTATCAGTCAGAGACAGGACCCGTTGTGTGCCCACCACTTCATCTATCTCTGCCTGCATCCTGTCTGGAATGAAAAGGATAGAAGCAACTCAGAATTAAGCGTACCACTCTTGGATCATTAATTTACCCCTCAGTTAAATCAACAAGATAGTGTAAATAAACTTTGTATAAAGTGGGAGTCAAATGCATGTTTTGATGTGCTGATAAATGTGATTGTGAAAGTGTTGGGGTGTTTCAATGCATAATCAAGCAAATTAGTTGTCCTAAAAAGGGAAGTATTTGAGCCGCGGGTTCCCACAGCAGGTTTCACATTCCTTTTTCTTCCCAAAGAGGATTTATGTAGAAAACAACATCTGTGTCTTTATACACCTAAACACTTTGCACAGTTTTACAACAAAGCGCTCATTATCCCAACTATTAACGTTCAATCTCTACAATAATAATAATAATTAAAGTTTATATTATTTAAATCTTTATTCCCACATCATAAAATAATTGCACCATGGATTGAAATAAAGTCAAGTGTGTTGATTTGTGATTTGTGTGTGCCTATCATTCGTTGTTTTCTACGCTGATCTATTTTTTTATTCATCCAAATACCATTGAAAATATACTAGAGGAATTCTGAGCAAATGTTATTTTCTTATAGACAACTAGAAAGAGATAACACTCTTTTATAACTTTCAAACTCATACAGATTGGAGATATGTTTGATATAGCAGGTGATGCTTGCACAGCTGTAATCCCATGTCCCTGTAGAGGAAAAGCAAACGACACAAAGAGCAATCAAACTGTTGGAAAAGGACTGTAGCTACTTTTACCTTGGATATCAGGATATAAGACCATGTAGAGCAGAATCCACAGAAGAGAGTTGGTGGTGGTGTCAGTGCCAGCGATGAAGAGATCTCCTATAATATAAAAGAGATAGTCTGCTGTGAAGCTGCTGTCCTGCTCTCCTCTCTGTTGCTGGTCCAACATCTCCTTCAGGTACATATCCACCAGATCCCTGGGGTGAGCAGGATCTAATGTTATCTGGTGGTGTACAATAATCTTCTTCAAAAACACTGTGATCTCTCCTTCCACCTGCCGCAACTCCTTGAAGACCCCAAAAGGTAAGTAGTAGAGCAGAGGGAAGACGTTGATGAGGACCGCGGCGCTGTTGACGCAGATCTCCAGCCCTCGGTCCATCAGGTCCAGCAGTTTGCTGAACTCTCGGTCTTCGTGGTGGAAGCGGTGTCCCAGGACCAGAAAGCAGATGACGTTGGATACGGCGTTCCTGATCAGCGGGGCCAGGTCCACTCCGGCATCAGCCCCACCCTCCTGACTCAGGATCAGCAGCTGCGATTTGATGGTGTCCAGGCCCTGCAGGATGCACGGCTCCAGGCTCAGCTTCCCCAGGCCGAACGTTCGGAGAGTGGCGTGGCAGAACTTGCGCTGCTTCCTCCACACTGGCCCGTAAGGTGCAAAGACTATACCTAAAGTTCAGTTAAACCAGAGAAGCATTTTAGTCAGTTTGTATCCTTCTCTTTTGAAGACTAAAGTCCAACATACATACAAATAAACTTGTTGGTAGGCTACTTGTACTACTAGTTCATATTTGTACACACTTAATGTATATATTTATGATATCACAACTGTAAACCAGTCGAACACAACATTACATTATGTTAGGGAATCATTTGCTTAGGTATTCAACCTTCGACCCAGTTCATCGTTTTCTCCTTTCACTGTCTCTTTTCCCACGGCATAGTTCTACGGCCTTGGGTATTGCTGCTATCTCTCTTAAGGAGGAGCAGCTTGGGCGCATTGTTGTTGCCAGTCTATGACAGAGCACAAGCCGCCATGAGGTAGTTTACTGATTAGGGACGTAGGTTCCCTGGCATACATTCGTTCCTATGGACGAGAGCTCTAGTTAGATTCAGGGTCCATAATATTTAGTCTCGCTGAGGAAGAATGTTGATTATTACACTCCGAACTAGTTAAAACCTCGAGCTGCAGAAGAGTTCTTCAGAATTGGTTTGGCAACCGCTGTGTCAACTCGTGACACACCACCTATCTTGTCAATTCTCCGGCCGTAACTCCAAATAAACCGCCAGTGTTTGCCATCAAAGCTCCAGCTCTTCTCGTGTCTCTCTGAGTCCTGACTCTCCATTGCTACAGAAGTTTCCCCCACACATTATATATACATTCTCGATACATATATATTTAATTATTATATTATATCTGCACTATTTCATGTTTTATGTAAAGGAATTTTTGGAGGGAGCCTTAGAACAAGAATGTATTTACCAACAACTAGCTTCGGACTTAAAACCAGTCATGTTCATCTCCAAATCCCACAGTTGCAATAAAGGCCTGATAAATATGTAACATCCTCTTACCAATATCTATGCTAGATAAAAACAACCTTGAAAATGTGGAATACTAAATGTGTTTATGTACACAGTGAGACAAACTGGCAAGTACAATTGACAGATTAAAATGGTTTCACATCTTATCAACCAATAACTCTTTCAATGGACAGAGGCATGTGACTGAAGGATTAAAATACATCTGAGACATGTTATCCTCAAGGTTCAAGGTTTTTTTATTTCGTCATACGAACATACTAGCTACAGTGTAGTTATGACGAAGAAAATATTAGGTCACAGGCTCCTCCAACAGTGCAACACAATAAAACAGATCAACAGAAATATAGTGCAAGTAAATAGTAAATATAAAAATAGTTTAAAAAAGTGAAATAGTGAAATAAGAGTCTATATGCAAGTTATTTGCATATATCCTATCCTTTATATCTGGCATTAGATAGATAGATAGATAGATAGATAGATAGATAGATAGATAGATAGATAGATAGATAGATAGATAGATAGATAGATAGATAGATAGATAGATAGATAGATGTCCCAGCCCGTGTGACATATCTAACTAATATTGGAAATACATCTAAATATGAGGCAATGGGCTACAAATCAACAGCAGCACAAACTACAGCCTCCAAAATGCAAACAAGTTGAAGCACAAACCATAACAGGACGTGGTAGAATGTATTCGTTTCAGCTAGGTTGATTAAATAAAGAATACACTGGATGTGGCTGTCATTTAAAATGCGTTATGTGTAGTGAAGCTGAAAAATGTACCTTTGCGTTTGGTCATGATAGAGATAGAAGGGATGTCAGGTCTGTCGGAGAACACCTCAGGATGGTTGGACAGAGCATCCTTCACCACATCATATCCATTCAGCACCACCATGAGCTGACTCCCTACAAAGATGCTGTATATGTTCCCATAGATATTGGCCTTTTCCGTTAACACGTCCATAGCGCTTCTGTTGGTGTTGTCCCGCTGCTGTCCAAACCTCCTCTGGATGAAAGAGGGGATGAGAAAGTGGCCAAAGTTTCCCACAACCGGCCAGGGCTTCGGACCTGGCGGGATTTTTGCCAGGAGGTTCCGTTGTTTCTGATACACATGTACTAAATAAAAAACTAGCAGCATAACTAGCAGAGCTGCAGTGTTGACATGCGACAGAACAAAGCTTAGGTTCTGCAGCCATGACAGCGAAATCATGTTGTTAAAGTTGTTTAAACTGAAATAGGAGAAGTGGTAATCCTATCCCATGTTCAGGAGTGTTCATGAAGTCCGAGTGAAATCATGAATTGCATGCCAACGAAGCAGAACTTGTATTTAAATGCTCTTTCCACGCGCTTCCTGTGTTGTTATGAAACTGCTGGTGTCAACGTCTTACTGTCATTGGCTTCCTATTGGCTGACAGCGCTGTGCCCGGCTGTGATTGGTGCACATCGATACTGACGACACATTAAAGCCATGGGCTTCACTTTGTTATAAACAAGTGGTGGGGACAATTTCTCCAGATTTAACATCAGTATAGAAGAAGACAACATATGTCCCTCCCCTGGGTGTTGAACCTCAAGCACCTGCATGAAAAAACAATGTATAAACCTCTGGACCACCAATGTGTTTTTAAAACAATTAACGCCCAACTATAGGTTTTGCTGTGATGTGATTTGGAGTGATTTTGTACATTTATGCACACAACGAGCACACAGGTATGGAGGACAGGATGACTGATGATTTAAATCAACAAAAAAAAAAAAAAAGCCTTGGTATGGTGGAACTTTAATACAATAGTACAATGTCCAGACTACAGCTAGCATATACACACTAAAGAAGACTAAAATGAATATAAAATTGAAAACAATAATAATAATAATAATAATAATAATAATAATAATAATAATAATAATAATAATAATAATAGTAATAATAATAATAAAATACTTATAGAAAAAAACAGATACACAAATATTAGAAATGGAAGTTTGTGTACACCTATGACATTAAACACACTAAGGCACCTTGTGACTTGAGGACACTGATATCATATTGAGGTAAACCCCAACAACACATACAGTATGAAAGAGCTACGGTAGCATTTCTGAAATCAAGTCTTGCAAATACTCCAACAAACCTGCGAGTCTGTCGCAACAAACTGTCTGTTCATGTCCGAAGTTCACTATGAGCTGAGCTACAAAAACACTGACGACTCTGCAGTACTTTATCTCATGAATAATTTACAAAGAACACACCGAGACGATATGATTATCCTTCATTTTTGCAGAAATATTTCTTTCAGAGCTATGCATTTGGTATCATTATGTTCCTGTCCAGTAGACAGGGGCTTCAGGGCCGTGTCACTCCTCCCGTGGGCTCTGTACCATGGAGTAATTCTTGCAGGGGTTCTTAAGGCAGGCAGGAGGCCAGGTGAAAGGCCAGCTGTAAGAGCAGGGCACCGAGGTCTGGACGTTCCTCTCCATAAAGTTGAACAGTGGGTTCCACCAGGTGTTGGTGAGGTAGTTGTTGGGCGAGCATTTCAGAGTCTGTCGAGAAAATAGAAGTTAGTCATTTCATTGGTAAATACAAACAAATAAAATGTTTGTATAATACTTTCAATACAAGGGATTCAGCTTAATGTGATTCTGATGAACAAACCATTCACATATCTTTGTCATAAAGCTGCGCCTTATCATAACTTCAAAGTTGCATTTTGTGCAATTGCATGTGGATGTCATAGCGAAAGTTAGAGAAGGGAATAATATCAGTAATAGTAAATATTTTTGTGCCATATGTTCCATACTAGGGATGCATCTCAAAGAGCTTTCACTGAACAGGTCAGACACATCTTTTTACTATTAATATAATTTACTTATTATAATAATAATAGTTGCTTTAGTTGCAATTTAGGTCAGTATTAATATAATACTAACATGTACATTGCAACAGGTTTTGCTTGATGTAATCATTTCTTTTGTGTATATTGACAATTAAAAATTCCTTCTTAACATGCGTCCAATGTACTTTCTTTGAAGGCGACTAAAGTTTCATTATATCAAATAATTATGTGATATGAGTATATTTTGTTGTTTTTGTTTGTTGTATTCTTGTTTTTAATTGAATGTTTCCTATAACCGTTTTCATTGACATGTTGCAACTGCAAATACTAATAACAATACATTAGATTTATATAGCGCTTTTCTAAGTACCCTTAGTCGCTTCAGACTTTTTGTAAATATTTGTTTAAATGAAAACTAAAATAATTTGAATAAATTAGCCGGAAACCAACATCATATTTGTACACAAGTTAGCTGCCAAGCTTGTGATTTATTTATTTTAAATGATATTTTAGGCTTGTTAACATATAACACATTTTTATATACACCTTTTATACCCCATATCAACTGTCCAACATTGACCAGTAGAGGGCGTAACTCACCATGTTGAGAAGCACACCCGTTTTACACACAGTCTAAAAATATACTTAGTCTTACTCTAAATATGTCATTATATGGAACATATAGAACGTTTTCTTTAAACCTAAACTGTAATATATTATTAAGCTGACATGTCGCTCTTAACTGGTACACTTGAGGTTAACTCTGTACACAAATTACAGCCAGACTGACAGTAAAGCCCACCATGCATAATGATTGATGTGAGACAAGGTTCAATGAGAGGGGAGACATCAGCTCTAAAAGCTCCTAGTTTTACTCTCTTGCACGTCACCATGCACACAAACAGCCCCCCAGTGCTCACCTGTAAGTTGGCCATAGTGTGGTACCACCAGAACAGGCGGGAGGTGATAAAATAGGCCACGACCACATCCACACTGTAATGCTCATGTGCCACCAAGATGCACACCACACCCGTGGCACTCAGCAGCCAGCACATCAGATGGTACCACCAAAACGACCGCGGCGAATCTTTAAAGAGAGGGAAGGAAAGTGTGTTGGTAATATTTATGACAACCTCTTTTTGTGGTCCGTGTGTCCATGTTTTAACTGCTAAAAAACGGCAGTCTGTAGCATTTCACTGCAATGTGACAAGAACTGGGAGTTTACGCAACATACAGAAAGGCTAACGAAAACAACATGGTTATACAGATAACTTAAAAAATGTAACGTCTTCTTGTAATATGTCATCCTTAAAACACTACAAACACTTTTGAATGCACTTTTGCCTTTTCTCCGAACAATAAATCAAGCTATATACAGCTTTAGAAGATAGCATAATCATTCATATCTGCTTTCAAATTGTATTAATAGTTATTTGTATCCCATTAGTTCCTAGAAGGTTCATTGCTGAGTAGTATAATTGTGTGCGCTAAATAGGATGAGAATGGATTAGATAATATCATTCATACATTATTAACAGGAAAGTCTCGTAAATTATTCAAAACAAAGCTCACAAACAAGTGATGCTTTGGGTACTCACACTCCTTGATGAATAGGTAGGTGAGGGTGAGCATCACAGTGTGTCCACTGTACAGGAAGTCTCCACACAGGAGGTGGGAGTTGGTCATGGAAAGACCTCCACCCGAAATCAGCCGCAGGATTCGCTGGATTTTCGCCTGGGAGTCTCCATGGAGCTGATCGAGAACAGGGAGAAACAGTGAATCAGTGACATTACGAATCCAACTAATGATTATTTTCGTCATGGATTTATTTAGCTACTGTACTTCTGCCATTAATCATGATTTGCAAAAAAAGTGCCTGATTAAATCGAAACAATTAGAATCCAAGAGATTACATTTACAGTGATGTAAAATAAATTAAAGAAGCAAATCTACAATAAACATCAGGCCCAATTCATTATCACAACTGTTCCCAATACAAAAATACATGAATTCCCTTGCAACCTATTATAAGTGCATTTAACAACGTGGGTATTTGCAACCCTATTATTTGCATGCAAATACATCGACTCCATTAAACTTAAAGGAATAGCTTTTACATTTTTATATTTACAGACGTGGTGGCAAACTTCTTATCTATCCGTCTTCGAGAAAGGAAATATAATCAAATATTTCGCAAATTGTCGGTCAATCTTTACAACTTGATGCAACATAATTGGAATTGAATTGAATTAACATGTAGTCAAGATTAAGAGGAATTGGAGAAAGTCAAATAAGTATAGCTTAACTACATCTTATGCTCCTGCAGCTCACATTACTGTGGATAACTCACTTCAAACAAGTAGCTGAAGGTTTCATACACTGTTCAAAACATATCAAATTCTTGTGAACAAAACAACTCTTAAACTGTCCAGCTTTGGATCCTTTTTGCACGACACAACCCATCAAACAGCAGCCCGGAGCGCATGTTTTTGATCAAACAATGATGCACCTCAATATTGTTGGTGTCCTGAGGCGGCAAAAAGGTCCACGTTTTTATAGCTGCCTCTCTTGTGTTGCTGTTCGAAATGAGTCCCAGAGGGTGCATGAGAGTACACGGCTGAGCAAGGACAGCTGATGCCCGATCTGATGTTTTTCATGCTACTCACCTTAGGAGCACAAGTCATGTGCATGCCAGGCACAGGCAGGGTGGTGATGTACATGGTGACACAGCGGTACAAGTACAGGGTGCCAATGAGGAAGAAGAACCGCCTGCCTGCTATCGACCTATACAAACAGACAATGAGTGTGGACATTGTGTTATTTTGTGGCAGATATTTACTTAAAACTACTTCATTCTGGAGATCTTGCACAGTCTAAAGAGTAAACGTGTAGCTCAAAGTTCCTGCTCAGCTGGGCAGACTGAATTGAATTAGCCGGACCACATAATGACAATCGAAATCATATACGCTTTAACAGCATCACATTTGTATTGGTAATGTTGCTTGCTTTGCTGAGCCCGTCAGAAATAGCTTTTCTATTTTTTGGACAAATGTGGATGACATGATTTCAAAAGTTTAACTTAATTAAACATTTACCTCAGTGGTAAGGGTGTGGTTTGAGTGTTTCATAAAGACTGCTTTCTAAAGTACTTATGTTGAACATACAGGAAAGTAAACCATCACTGTGTGAAGTACAAAACACCCTGATGGTGGAAGCATCAATGGACTCTAATGGATGCATTTTCTGAGTAACAGGAAGAGAGACATACAGATATGTTGCAACTCTTAACCACACTTGTGCAAATACAAAAACTAATCACAACTTCAGCCCACTGTATAAATGTGTCTCTTTGACCCTTGTCTTCATGAGTATTCTGTATTTTTCCAACAAATCCTCGGAAAAGACCCACACCGATCAAATGTTTTTATTATTTATTGGACAACAATGGAGGCCTGTTCAATTAATTATTAGGAATAGTTTCTTGTTTTTTTTACAAGCTTTATGAATCATGGGATTTGTTGACACTAAGAAAAATAATATATTTGCTTCCAAAGAAACAGTTTGTAAAATAGAGAGTACCAGATGTTCTTACCTGTATCTGAAGAAGAACAACTGGA